TTATAGAAGATGTTGTTGGATTCAGTTCTACCACATACACCACCACTGAAACAAATGGAAGTGTTACAGTCTGTGTTACTGTTATAAACGCACCTTTTGGAGCTGTCCAACCATTCAATGTAACCGTACTGCGTAGACAAGGTATAGGCATTGTTTGGCGAGCGAATACGAGCATTTCAATTTTTCGCGTGTGTTTTTGCACGAATTTGGAATCACATAAACATGTGGTTTGTCGGTCGATACACTGTTACATATGGAAAAATTCTGCATTCACAGGTCAGGCTCGCTTCGTTTGCTAACAAGTACAAAACTCTAAGGCATAGCTAAAGTGTTTTTAAGGTTTGCAATAAGTAAGTTGAAAATGAAAGAAACTTTTCATACCCATGCACATAACAGTAACAAAGAAAATTTTGCCAGTCAACTACTTGTGCCTGTCTTTTTGTATCGCATGTTTGCAATGAACGATCACTTGGCCAAGAGTGTTTTCACGTGATGAGCAGGTGTGGTTTTAGCCATACTAGTAAAGCTCTAGGTCAACTCACTGAAGGTAAGAAGTTCACAAAACCTAGTGAAATTGGTTTCACGAATTATAATTATATATAGAGATAGGAGCCACTAAGGGGCATCAGCTTGGAAGGGGTGAGGTCACACTCCCAACAACTTTGTCTGCTAGATTGGGTTGGGGGGCAAATGCTGGATTTGCTTTTGTCTCTGACGGGGGTTTGAAGCTTCAAAAGTCAAGAAGCAAGGCATTTTGTTGTTTTAGCGTGCAAATCACGTTATGCTCTAATGCCCAACATTACCCTTTTGATGTCGTGGTCATCCCCATAAATAAGCCGAAAATTGTGTATAAAGTACTAGCACCTGGTGTTACAACCTTCATAATTTTAATGCCAGGCCAATGAACAGGTACAAGTGGTTGTATATTATACCAATGACAAAAACGCATGGCTTAATTGAAGGGGCTTGATATTAAATGCAAGGGTAGTAGAAACTACACTTTTTTACTTCAGGATATTCTTTGATTGAGTGCATTCAAAGAGCTATACTTTCAGCGGGGAAGTTTGGAAATGTGTCATGAGTACGAAATTGAGCAAGACGATAACTGTGAACTGGAGGGAGAACAGACATACTTTAATCTTCAGCTGAGTGTAACATCTACAACTCTACTGAGCATCGATCCATTATTATCTACTACAACAGTTACTATTGATGATAACAGAGAGAAAGAATGCTGTAAGAGATTGTATAATACTGCAGAATTATAGTATCATGTACAATTATGCTCTGCGTTGATAGCGTGGCAGTCAGCTCTACATTTCCTATACTGTTGGTTATTTTTCTAGCGATGGGCCATCCTTAATCTTGCTGTATATTGTCTTGCAGATGTGAGTGTGTGGTATGAGAACACAAACTACACAATCTCTGAAATGACAGGTGTTGTGGAGCTATGTGTCACCGCCAGTTCTCCTGGAATTGACGAAATATTTACTCTCAGCGTCACAACTGACACCACTGCATGTAGGAAGTTTCAGTGCTATGAATATGCCTATTTTATCATTTTTGCCTACAGTTCCTACAGATTTTTTAAAGCAAAGCACTTACAACTTACATTGTGTGGTAAATAGTACCAATCCAGAGATAACAAAGTGCTACGACGTTTCGTTTGACTTTGATGCTATTACCTGCGAATACTTCGACTGCAGTGCATTAAAGACTGTGGTGGCTACCATAACTAAAGATGAAACTTCTCGTGTCACCCTCAATAGACCAATGACTTCAATTATCATTGAATTACCACCCAACAAATGTCCTGACTGCGATACTTCTAGTAGTCCGTCCTCTTCATCAAGCAACATTATTATTGCAGCTACCATTCCAGCAGTGGTTGTAGTAATTGCCATACCCTCTATGGCAGTCGTCATCATGCTAATACTCTACTGGAAAAAGACTACGAAAAAGCTGCAAATTCTACTTGAAGAGTGAGTGTGAAAATCTCGTAGATACCCACTTTACTGTTATGTGGTGACTATTTCTATAATATTATATAGACGCGCAAGAAATGTGCCCATCAGTGATCATTCACTCGGTAAAATATTACATAAAACTCTGAATGTATATTATACAGTTTACTAACAGATAAGACCATAAAGACTTCTATCTTGTCCTCACAATTGAGAGAGCAACTAAAAGGAAAAGGGATGTTATTCTGCAAAGAGGAACTTGAGCTTTCAAACACTGTGGGTCAAGGTGTGTCTGCTAAAAGTTTGCAAACTCATTCTCTTTTAATTCGTTAGGAGAGTCAGGACTGTATACAAGGGATATCGGACCACTGGAATAGGGAAGGAACTGGTTGCTGTCAAAACTGGAAAAGGTGCTCTACAGAATTATAATGGCATTATTTTATGTCATGCCTTTCTGTATGCCTGCAGCGCTCTTTTCCACCAGTGATAAGGACCGTTTGGCAAAGGAGGGTCTACCATGTGTCAATTTAAGCACACTAATGTCATGCCTTTACTTGGAGTATGCCTTGATGAAGACACGCCCCTACTGATTATGCCATTCATGAACGAAAGGAGTGTTATTGGAGTTTGTTAAACATCGCAAAAGGAGCTGGCTCTGTATCAATGCACTGAGAAGCTGAGGTCAAAGTCCAGTCTTGCTTCATTATACCTAATTATGTTTCTATAATTCATTACAGATTTGTCTTCCAGGAAAATTCTACTGAATATTGTCACACATCTCAAGGGTATGGAGATCTGCAGTGCAAAAGTTTGTCACCGCGATCTGGAGCACGGAACTGCATGTAAGATTAGCCTGCGAGAACACATATTCACCGTTGAGGGACTGACATACCCTGTGGTTCTCTCAGGACTCGACGTGATGGAGTGATAAAGGTCGCAGATTTGGACTAACCGAGGACATGTATGGCACAATACTTCCGTCCAGTCGAGAAAGGGAGAGGTGGGAGTGAGAGAAGGTGGCCAGCAGGTGGATGGCTCCGCGAGCGCATGAGGCAGAGATCTACGCTTTGAGCCCACTGATGTGGTACGTTCAGATAATACACACACATGACTACTATTCTGAAGTTGTGGTGACTTATCTCCAGTGGTCAGTTGGAGATGACAGTGTGGGAGCATCGTCACTTGCGGGAGGATCCCATACACTGGTGCTCAGCATACGCGCGCGGAGGAACTGCAGGGAGGGCAGAGAGCATGGCGATGACCTGACAAATCAGGCTGCCTGGATGAGTGTAAGGAACTATAGACATTAGCCCACAAACCTCCAATTTGTCTTAACAGGTATGAGATCTGATGCGTGCGTGTGGTCACTGGACTCCGTGCTCGTCGCTGTTACAAGGATTTGGTGGGCAAGAAGTTCAGTGGTCTTCTGGAGAGGAGTCAGACTACGGAGTTGTCTGCTCAGGACTGCCTCTCCACCCTTCTCACCTGCTGATCTGTTGTCACCAGAACAGGAACTGCTGCGGCCGCTGAGAATGAAACTGAAATCTGACATGACTGAAGTATGGTATAACAGGCACTGTATTACTGCAGAGACCACATGCTAAGAGAGAGCTACCTATACGAATGCATTCCCAAACCTTTCTCTAAAAAGTAAGGCACAGTGTGTAAGAGCTGCGTAGTTAACACTAGTCGTTTTTGTGAATCAAAATATCAGAGTATTAGGTATTTGTAGTATATGGTCTTACTTCTTTCTTGAGAACAAATCAAGCCTTTTCCATGTGTGAATGAAAGCGAGAGTTGCGTACAACAGAAAGGGTGCGTAGCGACGTGAGTCGGCACTAATGTCAACACTGCACATTAGGCTGGTCTACGGACAAACTGTCTCATCGGACAGAGACGATCACGCTAGCCTGCCACTCCTCGTTTTGCGTATGCCATGCGTGTGATTAGGCTCACTGGAAGAATGATAACAAGTCTCGAAATCGGGGCATCCACGGAAATTGTCTACGCCATGGCTGCGCCGCCACTGGACAGGGCAGAAAACATAAAGAAAAATGGGTGGGGTTCCTTCGCTCATCGATTTAAACAGACTAATTCAGCTACATTACATCTTTTTAATTCCAAACGGTTCGTCTCACAGTAACCAAAGGCTCTGAAGTCCATTAACGTTCAGAATGCCTGTTGATTTATTGGAACGTCATTACCCCTTACTCTATTGCACAGTTCTGGGGGCCATTTTGTAGCTCTTAAAGGTCCTATTCTCGTGGTCGCTGGTTTGTACAAATCAACGCAGAGTTTTTGTGTGACATAAGAAAAACCTCTATTGCCAAAGTGCATTCTCAACTGAAACATACGATAATTACACCTATGTCAGCAAATATTATGAGTTCCGTGGACGTGTTCTCTTGCATCGACTCAAGGGAGATAACAGATGACCAGTGGGATGGTGGTAGCATCAACCAAGCAGCCCCAATAATTGACAAATCATCTACTGACGCCACACATTCTCCCATACCACTGCAAAGTTGGTTAAATAGAGTCTTGTCGCTTGCAAGGCAAGTGCACCATAAATGAAAAGCACAAAAGTGGCAAAACCCTAGGCTGCATATATAATATAGCTAAATGTCACGCATTATTGGCACCCACCTACGCAGGTGCGGTTAGTTACCACCAATAATGGACACGGTTGTACTAGTGTTAGAAGAAAACTCTGAGAGGTTAAATAGCATATAAGCATCTTTGCAGTATGAGACGTGCCCTCCATGTAAACTTCTGATGCCTCCATGGTGCGCAAACAGGCAAAATGTGGGTCGAGGTAAACTAGTAGTAATTTGCATAATGGTCAATATCAGGGATAATGTGACGGATTCGGCCCTAAATGATGATGGGTTGACACTCCAATACCATGCCCAGAGCTTTATAAAGGAGGTTGCGGAAGCTTCAGCTACCACAGTGTGGTCCTTCCAATGTGCATGGGCGAACATAAGTTACAACAATAGTTCATCATTATTTGATAGCCTAACTACAGCAGGAAATAATGACCTCAACTATAGTTAAATAGTCATGAAGTTCCCTTGAAATGGCTCTATCGTTACCCAAACCAAATGTGACACTTGATGCAGTAGTAGTAGCCATCGTATTGGTTGTATATTTCGAAAAAACCCGCACGTTCGCCAGCCAGCATTCAGATACTGAGCCCAACTCGGACTCTAGCATCAGTACAATCACTATACTGTGGCAGTATCTGTGTAGGGAAAAACATCTCTAATAATAATGGCTAGCTGAGATAAAAGTGTACTAACCCCGCTGCACAGTAACCATGTGCTCAAAATTCAAGACCTTTTCCAGTTGTTCCCTGAGAATTTCCAAACGTTTTCGACTAATTCCCTGTGCTATTCCCTCAGCAAATTCTTAAGGCTTTGCAGCTGCCTTGGGATACATAGCAAAAGGCCACCTCCAGGCAAACACAGGAAGACAGCCAGAGAGTGACAGCTGTGGAAAATCATCATTTCTCCTGTGATTTTCCTCTCTTCAGTTCTCGTCATCTTTTTATAGCTACGTGAAGCCTTAATAATATCGAACAGCGATGCTTAGGCAATAGGAACCTATAGTTTCAGATGTTGGAGTAATGATCAGCCAACCCACAAATTAGGGGCTACATACTTTCCCATCGACTTCTATTACCAATATGACATAATTGCACTTTGTAGCAATCCAACAAGCCAGTGATGAATAATTATGATGCCCAATCGCGACTAAGAATTGGCCATATGGAGATATGAGTGCCCTTTTTTCTTAAGTAATGTAGTCGCATGATTCCATTATCGAACTGTGCATGCATTGATGCAAAACTGCATGTCACAGTCACATTACAATATGAACTGACCTGGTACAATATACCCAAATAGTCTTGTGTAGCCTGCCTAAGGGTACGCCAGACTGAGACTACCTTAATGTTACAATTAATTGCGGCTACAAATATCAGCGTTTTTGCACACTTTTTGGTTACTAGGCATTTAGATAGTAGCTACAGTACAGCTCCATTCCATTCTTGTATAGCTACTAACATTGAGCAATTGCAAAAGCCATCACCAGCTTCAGAAGATGCAATTCAAAAGGTCCGGGAGATCTTAGCTAAGCCCACACCTCCTGAGAAGTCACTGGTCAATAAGGAAATTGTGGTGAACCTTGAAAATAATGACGAAAAGATTCGACACGAAGCACCTCTACCAGAAGCTGACGGAGTTCCACTACTCGAAGCGCAAGCATTACAGTAGGGTGTTCTGGACTATACCTGCAGAGATTAACATTGAAAAAACATCATGCCAACTTTGTATTTAGCAACCGGGCCTAGTTCATTGATTATATAATTTATAATTTTAGCTAATACTGCATTTTGTCACAAGGGCTCAGCACCTTATAATTACTTCATAGATGGGAGGACCGTTGAATTGGCGTTGAGGCTATAGGTGTAATAGTGTGGTTGATTATAATAGCTACTGTGCAATGACAGTTGGGAATGACGCCCGTTATCGATCCTCCTGTGACAAGGCATTGTGGAAAGTGTATAGAGTGAGACACTGCATGTCTAGGGGCCACTGCAGAAAAATATTTCCACAGTTTTTGTGGGGAGGATTTTATTGAGGGAGTGCACACATGTGCAGTTTTATAACGCTCTATAGCTGTTCACTGGGGTTAGCATGTCTTCAGATGATATAATTATATGTAGTGCTGACTACTGAAAGCCCTCTTCTTCGGGCCTGGTCCTGGCAATAGTTATAGTATAGTTTATGGAGGAAAATTTCACACAACACAAAAAAACACAAAACCTTGCTTGAAGGAATGTGTAGGCTAACAGTAATTCCAGCTCTCTCTCAAGTTCAATACCTGTAAACTTGAGGTTGCCCTAAGCCACCCCTCATGGCCAGCTTAAAGGTCACAAGGAAGTGGGCACGCTGAACAACAGACTGCAGCTGTGAAAACCCAACCCAACAGGTGGGGCAGACCTCTGCCTCTGCCACGGAAGGGGACGTGGATATCATAAGAGGAACCTCCATGAAACCAACAGCAGTCACGCACTCTTGCAACAGGGAATCCAATATCATCGCAAAACTGCTCATAGCAAAATATAGTCTCTACTGCAAAGAGAGAGAAAAAGGCCTGAAAGTAGAGCAAAGAAAGATTGTATTGTAATTGACATACTTTGCTGAATAGGGGGCTCAATGATAGATGCTGATTCGCCAGTTACCACCTGAGGCTTTCCAATTGGGTTTGGGTAGCAGAGGGCCACCTCCAGGCAACACAGGAAGACAACCAGAGTGACAGCTGTGAATTTCTTCATTTTCCAAGATGAAGTTCTCTTACAGTCCTCTCTTTTGCTCCAGCCTTTTATACAATTGCTCCCCCTGACTGTACTGGAGTCCAGGAAACATCCTCCCACGCATCTGTCTGGATAGGAAATTACCTGAAAGGGTGGCAAGGAAATGCAAATTAACCTTAATTCAATGTGGTCCTACAAAAATGTTGCGCGTAGTTTCAGTGTGACCAAGTGTTTAGAGCAGCAATACTATATGTGGACATACAGACGACCCTGGCCACATTTTATGTGTTAATAATCCCAATAGAATTTCAATTCACAATAAACAGTGAACTGGTGGTTCAGCTAGTAAAGTGTTGTAAGCTCATTAAACCCTCGGCGCACATGCGCAGCGAGGGTTAAGGTAGTCGTTCTGTCTGTCTGTCTGTCTGTCTGCGCGCATCGACGCTTATTCTGGCACTACTGGCTACGAGGCGGCCTATCAGAGATACCAGCGGCTTCAGAACTACGCGAGCCTGAAAAACAAAAGGGCGATTTTCCAGAAACGACTGCGTTTAATTAAGAGATATGCCGTGAAAATTAAAGTGCAAACCCTCGGCGAACTGCGCATGCGCGGTACTGCTAATGGTGGGCCGGGCTATGGCGCGGTCTCCGGCCCGCTGGTAGCTCGCGGAGAGTAGGACACGGGCTAGCTACGGCAGTAGATAGCATGCGGGAGTCGATACACGCCCTTCGCTGTGGCTTCTTGTGCCTCCAGAGCAAGCGGATCAAGTCGAGGTGAGCCAGCATACCGTATCTAATACACGCATGCGCACCGCTTATTGATGGGTTGGGCCGGCGCCGGCCGACCAAGCCAGTTTGTCGCTCTCGAAAGCAGTTGTTTCAGGAAAATCGCCTAATACTTTTTCCGGTTCCCGTAGTTCTGAACCCGCTGGTATCGCTAATGGGTCGCCTCGTAGCCAGAATAAGCGTCGACACTCAGACAGACTGACAGAACGACCACCGTAACCCTCGCTGCGCATGCGCGCCGAGGGTTAACAAGACCTTATCCGCTCGCTCTGTTTATATACCTTGGGGGCTCAGGAAGTCACAACGAATGGCATGTATCGACTCCCGCATGCTATCTACTATTAACTAGCCAGTGTCAGACTCTCCGCGAGCTAACTAGCGTGGAGACCTGACCAAGAGTAAACGCATACAGCCGCGGTACCGCGCATGCGCAGTTCGCCGAGGGTCAGTGCTTTTCATCCTGGGTGCCATTCTATTGTTTGGTTTGCCTCGAGACCTCGTTGTCGACACAATGTGTGGGAACGGCAGGAACCTAACAAGAGCTGCTGGTAGCTCCCATAGACAGTCAGGAAGTCACGCTACAAGCAACTCATTGACAACACACCCTGCTGCCTGGACACTATTCACCCAAGAAGCTCTACACTTAATTCAGGTCTAAATCTCACTCCACCCCCTTGCAGTCAAAACATGCGGACCATTATGAAACACACTTACTCTGGGACTATAAAGAAAATACCAGGAGTTACAAACATTTTACTCAGTGTACGTTCAGAGGTGATAATTGAGATCTTCCCAGCTATCTTTCCGGTTCTCTTCCTGTGTGTATATACTTGAGGTTGCCCTAAGCCACCCCTCATGGCCAGCTTAAAGGCCACAGGGAGAATTGACAAGCTGAACGACGGACTGCAGCTCAAAGATTTCCAACATAATTATTCAGAGCGTATTAAAGGTTATTGTATAACTTCCCCATGCTTGTAACTACCTTAGACTGTTTTGAAGATGATAATTGTAGCTATAATATCATTCAAGGGAGATGCAGATGCAGTGGTGGTAGCTAGCTATCAACCAAGTGGCCGCATTTTTCATACATTCAGCTACTGACCCCACATATTCTCCCATATCCACTCCCATAAATGAAAAGCACAAAAGTGCAAAACCTAGGCACCCTGGCTAGATGCGCACGCATTGGCATCCCCATACACGTGCACGGGTTAGTACTCTATCGTTACTTGTGTCATTATCTCTAGCAAACTCTCTGAGAGTCTGACACAGGTTAGATAGCATTCTAGGCATCGCAAGACTCGATACTCACCCTCCATTGTAACTTCTGATGCCTCCATGGTACGCAAACAAGCAAAATGTGGTCGAAGTAAACTAGTAGTAATTTGCATAATGGTCAAATATCAAGATAATGTGACAGGATTCGGCCCCATATGATGGCTGGGTTGGCACTCCAATGCCATGCCCCAGAGCTTTATAAAGGAGGTTGCGGAAGCTTCAGCTACCACAGTATGGTCCTTCCAGCCCATGGCAATGCACATGCGCAAACATAAGTTACAACAATTAATTATAGTTCATCAAGATTCTAATTAGCCTACAACAGCATTGAAATAATGACCTCAACTATAGTGAAATGAGTTCACAGTCATGATGTTCCTTGAAATGGCTCTCTCGTTACCCAAACCAATTGTGACACTTGATGCAGTAGTAGTAGCCATCGTACGGGTTTAATATTTCAAAAAACATACCCGCACGTTCGCAGCAGCATTCCAATACTGACCCAACGTCGACTCTAGCATCAGTACAATCACTGCTGTGGCAGTATAGATCATTATCTGTGTAGGGAAAAACATCTCTAATAATAATGACTAGCTGTATTAAAAGTGCACTAACACTGCTGCACAGTAACCATGTGCTCAAAATTCAAAAGATGTTTTGCGCTTGTTCCCTGAGAATTTCCAAACGTTTGTCTACTAATTCCCTGTGGTCTTCCAGCAATTCCCTCAGGTGATTCAGCAATTTCTTGAGGCTTTGCAGCTGCCTTGGGATAGCAGAGGGCCACCTCCAGGCAACACAGGAAGACAACCAGAGTGACAGCTGTGAATATCTTCATCTTCTGCTTCTGTGATCATTCCTCTCTACAGTTTTCTTCATCTTTTTATAGCTACGTTTAATAATATCTGGAAAGCGATGCTTTGTCAATATGAACCTATAGTTTCACATGTAGGAGTAATGATAAGTATCTCAGCCAGCCAACCCACAAATTATGAGCTACATACTTTCCCATGAACTTCTATTACCAATACCTTGTGGCATGACAATATTCCAACAAGCCAGTGATAAATAATTATGATGCCCGACTAAAATTGTTCTTGGCGATATGAGGTGCCCTTTTTTCAATGTAGTCGCATGATTCCACTATCGAACTGCGCATGCGTTGGTTATCCGCTATGCACAACAATTACACGGTATGCGCGCGCATGCGCAATACAAATAAAGTCGCTAAAATTAGTAGCCGCAATTAACTTAGTTGTGGCAATGGGTGTAGCCACACGTTTTTCAAAGGTGGAATTATCCAGTTTGGAAATCCTAGTGGGTATGAACTAACTTGCAAACCATTGGCAGACTAGACAAGCGTCTCTTGCTAGAGCTATTGGGCCTCTGTCCATGCATATGTCACCGTTCTATATACACATTTTAACATACGTACTTCTGACAAAGGGCTCATAATTCATGCTGTGGACCTATGTAGCTATCTGCAGGGAATTTGTAAAAGCATCATTGGATGCAGCTGTAAACATTGGCTTTAATTACAATGTACAAAGTGGTAAGTGCGTCGGTGTTGTTGATGCTCAGCTAATGTCTTTTCCTAGCACAGGTATGACTTAATGAACACGTAAAGTGCTGTCTCTAATTGACCAAGGGGCCCCTTGCAGCAAAACACACATTAGGAAGCCCAAAAAGTCCAAAAAGCCCTGTCCTCTTATACCCAGCTACATATTGCAGGACAACTTGCCAAGAGACAATTACAACATGATTATATTCAGCTACATTCTAATCATTTTCTACGTAGCTACGTTTCGGCAGTGTATATAGCTAACTACACGCAGTCCAGTTCAAAGTAGTTTTCAGGGGTTTCCTCTCCTGTATCATTCGAGGGAGATGCAGATAGAGCCACAAAAGGGGTGGTAGTCATGAACTGAGCGACCGCCATTATCGATACATTCCTTTACAGACTCTCCATTAATACCAAAGCAAACGTCGCTGTCATAGATGCAAAAAAATCTGACACTGCAGGGCAAAAATGTTTGCAGTAAATGACAGTACAAGTGAACCATAAGTAACGTACAGCCCTGAGTGTTAGCAGTCTGTTCATTATGTGAAAGACTTTCCTCCGACTCTACACTTATTCCTCGTGGTCTTCCAGCGATTTCCTGGGGTCTTCCCCGAGGCCTTGCAGCCGGCCATGAGTGGTAGCAGAGGGCCACCTCCAGGCAACACAGGAAGACAACCAGAGTGACAGCTGCGAAAATCTTCATTGTCTCCTCTCACGATCGAGTTGGCCTGTCCTTTTAGCAACCTCACCTCCTTTTATATACCTCACCTCTTCTTATTCAAGGGTGGATAACTTTCCTGTCTTCACACCGCCACGCTTTTATACATCAGCAGAAAATGTCATCATATGCGCAAGGAACTGCCACTTTAGAGAGAAATTGTCTAAACACTCATAAGTAAATGTGAGTATACAAAGCCAATAGTAAAGTTACAAGCCTTTAAAAGTCAGCATCAAAGTTGTAGCTAGAGCTATTGGGCCTCTGTCAATGCTTATGTCACCGTTCCACGCATTTTAACATACGTACTTCTGACAAAAGGGCTTATAATTTATGCTGTGGACCTATGTAGCTATCTGCAGGGAATTTGTAAAAGCATCATTGGATGCAGCTGTAAACATTGGCTTTAATGTACAAAGCGTAGGTGCGTCGGTGTTGTTGACGCTCAGCTAATGTCTTTTCCTAGCACAGGTATGACTTAATGAACACGTATATAAAGTGCTGTCTCTAATTGACCAAGGGGCCCCTGCAGCAAAACACACAAGGAAGCTCAAAAGCCCTGTCCTTCTATCAACCAGCGCACATACTCTGAAAAAGGCAGATGAAAGCTGGTATGACAGTGCCTGTAGCTAAGGACACTTACTGCCAAGCACTAGAGTGCAAACCCTCGGAGAACTGCGCATGCGCGGTACCGCTAATTGATGGGCTAGGCCTATTATATAGTTACTCGTGATCTCCCGCTAGTAGCTCGCGGAGAGTCTGACACGGGCGGGCTAGCTACAGTAGCAGATAGCATGCGGGAGTCGATACACACCCTTCGTTGTGGCTTATTGTGCCTCCGAGGTACACAGAGCAAGTGGATCAGGTCGAGGTAAGCCGGTGCTAATTAGCATAATTATTAGCTTGTTCACTTGGTTTTCACGCCATAACTTCTGAACGCGGCACTTTTACGAAAATCGCCTAATTGAAAATAAAGCCAGTGTGTAGCGCCGAACCCGCTGGTGTCGCTATTTTACCTGTTTGTTGCGCGTGGTGGCGGTAACAGACGGACTGACAGAACGACTACTGTAACCCTCGCTGCGCATGCGCGCGCCGAGGGATGCAAGCCAACTTGTAAAGCAGTTCTGCTCATGTTCCACCTGGAACAGTGTGTGTTTGTTTGTTTGTGTGTGTGAGGGTGTGTGTGTGTGTGTGTGTGTGTGTGTGTGTGTGTGCATGTGTGTGAGGGTGTGTGAAGGTATATACACATTCTGTGATGGTGGTTTTACTCTTTAATTATCGATGGGATAATGAAATCACAGCACTGTACTTTTTATTAATTGCTTAGCAGTCACAAAACTGGCAGAGCTGGTCCTCCTGCCTTTGTTAGTGTACAATCATGAACAGAAACACGCTCAAATGATCTTCATCTTCCAGAATAATGTCAATAATAATTATTTTGCAGCATAACAGTACAACGTCATAAATAAGTCATGATTTTTAGGACAGTTCTTGCAGTTTCACTTGGACATCTTGCGCACCATATAGTTGAGGATGCCTCCGTGTTGGTAGTAGGTCAGCTCCACATCTGTATCAATCCTACATCTCACCTCCACACTTACTCCACTGTCCGTCTATTGTGCCAACATTACATCATCATTATGAAACGGTACATTGTCCACCGCAGCAGTTTTTTAATCAGGGCAGAATTCTTTCGCTCTTATAATCAATGTGTGCGTGTGCAGCGATGATTAATTACACATTGTATATGCATACCTTCACTGTCAGTAGTTGACCGGGTTTCAACTGAGGTGGCACTTGTACCGAATAAAACTCTTTCCCTATACAAGATTGGAATGGAGCTGTACACATGTACAATCTAAACGTACAGTAACCCAAAAAAGTGCTTTACACAGAGTAGAGTGGAAGATAGCAGAAAATTACACACAGCAAAGTGTAAAACATTAACTGTATGTAATGTACACACACCTGTGAGTCTGAGGGTTTCAGTGGTAGCTCCGTCGGTGAACTGGAGTGGAAGGATGCCCATTCCAACCAGATTGGAGCGATGGATACGCTCGAAACTCTCTGCTACCACTGCCTTCACTCCCTACAATATACAATATCAGTATACAATATCACCTCCAGCTCGCCAATAATTACATTTGGCACCTGTTCTGTATGTAAATATAATAATATTACTAGGAATGCATATTTTGCCTCGCGCCTGCCAGCCAATGCGTAAACAGTCCGACTGAGGCCGCTCGTGCACGCGCTCTACTGACTGTACGCGTAGCCAGACTTCCTACGAATCTGCACGCACGGCGGAAGCTAGACTTCCTACAAATGACGGAAGTTGACATTCCTAAGCGTGACATTCCCTAAGTGTGACTAATTGACATTCTTAAGCGTGACGGACACGTACGTACGTATGCACGCATATCATGAGAATACAACCCGGAGTAGTTGCCTCACGCTAACGCGCTCGGCAATAAATGAAGGTCAGACACTACTATAATTATGGAGGTGTACTACTGACCAGCATCCAAGGTCCCTTGGCGGCCCAGTCTCGAGATGACCCACTGCCGTAGTCCTTCCCCGCCAGGACGATGAGTGGCCGTCCCTCGCTGCGGTACCTCTCCGCCGCGTCAAATACGTCCATACTCTCCCCTGTACAACACATGTACATTATCATACAGTGCAACCTCCGGAAAAGGGTTCTCTAAATAAAGGACACCTTTTTATAAAGGACACTTGGTTCTGCCCCAATTAGTGTGTTATACTATGTACCTCTGAATAAAGGATGCCTCTGAATTGAATGAAGGACAATTTTAGTGTCTTCATGGTTTCAGAGGTGTCTGGTCACTACTACCAACATCTTATACAGCTGACTATCACCACTTACTATAGACACGTGTGTAATTGCGCACACTAATAATGTGAACAGTACACATCTCAACACTTAACCAGCCGCGGACACATAAATGTGTCCAGAGCCTCCATAAGTCCACAAGAATTTATATGGGACTTAGGGCGCTAATACCTTACACATTAATTTCTGCTTATTAAAGCAGATACCCATGGTGGCCAAAGGGCTATTAATGCAATTAGAATGTCGTACAATGCAGTAGCAGGAAACTGCGTGCATCAGTGAGCTGAGAGGACGCTGAGCTGTTGGCACTCGAGTACAGGGAGGACTCTACCAAAGGCACCTCAAGATCTCAAATGCAGATATAGATTACCACATATGAGGTATCTGTACAACTATGGCAATGCAGTGAATTTGGTGCAGCTGAAACAGTCATCGAGTGGTTCCGATGACTGGTTCTTACTCGCTGCGAAGTAAAGCTAGACACACAGGGAAGACGCCAAGCAAAGCTGTATAATATATAGCCTTATGTAAATAGGGTTTAAACCCCCTTTATACCCAGTTAACTGCAGAGGGGCGCACATGTGTGGTGTTGTGTGTGAGTGGGGTATGGGGTATTGAGGCACGTGAGGGCACAAGCCTCTCAGATCGACCGCGTGGGTTTGCCAATCGCGAGCAGCAAGCTCCCACCTCGTCTTTTTTTTCTTCTTTTTTGCTTAGTCTTCTTTCCGGCTATTGCCGTGAAAGTGCCGGTTTCGCCTACCCAGCGCTCCTCCCCCTCATTAACGCTGGGGGCGGGGCTTCCTGCCCAGGCACGACCGCCAAAATGCTACACCCCCTGGAAGGGTGGCTTGCTTGGTTCTCGTGTGTACCCGACAGCCCCGGTAAGCAGTTGTAAGTTTAAAATATAGCAATAGCAAAACAGGTACAATGCAATTTGGCTAGAGCTTATAATATAGCCTTATGTAACTGTATAAAATGTAGTGACACACGATCATTTTTGGTACATATTGAAGGGGGTGGAGTCTCACCGGAGGGGAAATGTAGGGTCTTTGGGCCTGGCTTGCTCATGAACTTGTTGACCAGTCGAATGTTGGCAAATGTTCCTCGGGCCATGACTGAGTCATTGCCACGACGAGCTCCATACGAATTGAACTCTCGTGGGGTCATCCTATACAGTGTATGTAGTGTGTATGGGACAGCGACCACATGATCATACACTTTCACAACATAATACTATTTTGGCGAATTTTATGAAACCACAAGAGTAGTCTCTGTGATTACTTTCGGGGGTCCATAAAACAACGTTTGTCATTCACGACTGTGGTTGACTATTAGTAGTCTCTCTTTCAGAGATTTAACAAAATATTGCCAGAGTAGCTTTAATACGATTTTACCAACCCAGCATAGAGGACACCTACACATAGATTTAAGGAGACTATGTGCTATAAAAATATAGCTTTTCAGGCTTGCTGTGCTCGTCCAGTCACACTGGTATAAGAAAGGGAATTCCCCCTATGAATCAGAGGCCACACCCACCCACGAGAGGAGAGGTATCTGGCTGCCGGAGAGGTTCGAGAGATGGAGCCGGCTGGACTGATGTGGTCAGTGGTGACACTGTCCCCTAGGTTCAGGAGGACGGCTGCCTTCTCAACGTCCCTTACTGCTGGGGGGTCCTGGGTCTGGCCACAGGGAGGGTGGACAGGGGAGAGAGAGAGAGAGAGAGAGAGATACAGATAGTGTGAAAACTCTGAATAAGGGACACCTTGCGACAAAAACCAGAGACCAATATTCCAAGATAAAAACTCTGCTCACTAATGTAATGCCTCCTTATCAACTGCTGAAACACTGTACATGTACAACATGCTGTATTTCCAGAAAGACCTACGCATATACATACACAGTGTTGCAGACCTGCATACTACTACATGGCCAAGGGTATTCATTAAGTAGTGGTATGTGGTATATTATGACGGTATGGTATATACGTATTATGTTTACAGCAGTGACAGTATACCATGCCATCAAAGAAGGGAGGAGACTTGATGTAGGTTGACTTGGGGTCCCAGGGATACAGCTGAGAGTCAGGAGCCTCCAACTCATTCCAACTACTGTTGCTCTGTATAAAATTAACATTAGCGTTGCACTGTTGGTTCTGTACAGTAATGACATAATAAGCAGTCAAACAACAACCGGTGAGGTTGCAAGCACACTGAGAGCTTACCACAGTTGTACATATAATCTCTGTATAACACATAGCTTACAACTTGCTTTACCTAGCAATTTGACAATGATACACATGTGTAAACTATGAGGTAGAATGGCAAAGGCACAACAAACAAGTCCACTACACCCAAAAAAAGCGCTGTCCTAAGTGGGATTCGAACCCACGACACTCTGCAGTCTAGGCGAGGACTCTACCAACTGAGCTACCAGGGCAACTCAGCTGGTAGGGGTTCGAATCTTCAACACAACACCAACACAAGGCAAACCTCAAACCAACTGTGCTATGGCACAGTATACTCTCACTCGCACAGTTGTGAATTCGCAGTGGTGTATCAACTATACCTCAGTGATCTTGGAGTAGGTGTCTCTGAACATGGCAGGCACCACGTACTGCCTCTCCACCTCCTGGAGTTCAGCTCTGGTCGGCCAGATGTCTTTTAGGAAGACCGGGGAGCCTGATGAGTCAACCCCTGCGGAGATTGATGGAGAGAGAGGATAGTGGGTGGGATGGAGGGGGGTGGGAGGGAGGAAGGGGGAGGAACAGAGAGAGAAGAAGGAAGAAAGAGAGTTGCAAGATGAATATACTCTACATCGTCAATATTTGACGGTGAATATTATTCTTTCCTGCCGCTTTATGCTAGCTAGTGTGCTAAACACATCCACACAGACTGTTAGTTTACCGAGTGGTTCTTTCTCAAAGTCGATGAGGACGGTCCCAGCGATGGCGTAGGCGATACACAGAGGAGGAGAGGTGAGATAGTTTGCTCTCGTGTGGGGGTTGATACGACCCTCGAAATTCCTGTTCCCGCTCAGGACACCCACGGCAACAAGGTCGGCCTGTTCCACTGCCGTGGTGACAGCCTCGGGGAGGGGTCCGCTGTTTCCAATGCATGTCATACAGCCGTAGCCCACCAGGTGGAAACTGTGGGGTCACAAGGCAGGGAGGAGAGGAAAGATGAACCACGTGCATAGTTGCATGACATGTATGGACAGTGTAAGCAAAGGTATAAGTGCAATGACACCAAGGAAAAGCCTACAAAAGAGACTGCCCTGGGTTAATGTACACACTAGGGAACATGTAAATATGCCGTTAATGTGTATCTGGTAGCATAGTTAATGTCGGGAGCTGCTTGCAAAAGATTTCCTTGGGAAACTGTTATTCATTTTCCCACACTATACGGTACGTATGTACATACCCAGCAGATACTGTGTGCTACTGTTTGGTCCAATAACTATATACAATGCGACTATGTGTTAACACATTGGTTAAAAGTACGGTATATTATAGTACGTTAGAGTAGAGCAACAAATGTATGTGAACAACTTGAAACGGTGAGCTCCAGTGGTGTGTGCATGGACTTGCTTTGGGTCAGTGTCTGAGGCTGTGTGTGGACAGAACCTGCGACCAGAAACACGTGCACAGTCCTCAATGAAACGTTTCTCAAAAAGCCTGTCTTTTTACATGTGCATCGTACACCAGTAATCTAAGTACGTAAGTGCAGGCACCTCCAATGATATGACATACACCAGAGTTAATGCGGATAAATTTGACACAGCGAACATTTACATACAATTGTTTGAGACTTTCTTTACTGAAGATGTAGCTAATCGATAGGTCCCAGTGCAAAATGTAGCTGTTGTACAATAATTATGTACACTGCCACAATCCCTTTAAGGTCATTATCAATTACATATGTACTCTGAAATAATAATGACTAGGGTCTTACCCGAGCTGCTCCAGGTAAGGAATGACTCCGCTCTCCTTCAGGTAGTACGTGACGACCCCTGACCCCGGGGATAACGAGGTCTTGATGTAGGGGGCCACTGAGAGGCCTCGCTCGCAGGCCTTCTTTGCCAGGAGGCCGGCTCCCAGCATGACCGACGGGTTGGAGGTGTTGGTGCAACTGGTGATGGCTGATATCACCACAGAACCTGCGTGTGTGTGTGTGTGTGTGTGTGTGTGGGAGGGGGGGGTTACAGGTTGTAATGGGAGTATATACAGTGGAACCTCGTTAAAGTGAACTCAAAGGGACCGCCTCAAAATTTCGTACTAACAGGAGTTTCAGTTTCAGGAGTTTGTAACCTTCATAGTAACGGAATTTCATTCTAAGCCATGTTCACTCTAACGAGGTTTCACTGTATATTGGGCCTGGACTTAGTGGACATGTGGCTGTTTGAATGCTACACATAGGTAGATTCCCCATGCAAGGGGAATGGGGAAACCTATGTACTGCTACATACAACACAAGAGTCGAGGGGCTTTAACTGTGTGTAGATTTCACAGACTCAAGTGTCTAACATAATTATGTAGTATTTAGTAATCTTTCCTGCCAAATGTTCTAGGTAGTACCATGTTTGAGAGTGTAGTCTTTGCCCTCATAGGAGAACGGGGCACTGGCTCCATGTTTGTCTGCTGGTATCTGGAACCCTTTGAATCCAACCTGCACAGTCACACATATGTAATCATGTATTAATGGCTCGCGTAATACAAAGAAGAAAACAGATGAGAAAAGAAGACCATATACCATAAGCAAGTTAGAAGCACAAACACCTATTTATGCATTGAGAATGGTTGTCCCGGCATCTCTGTATTATTAGTCGGTATTATACAGAGTGAGAAAGTGAGACAGGTGAGGGGGAAGGGAGAGGGGACAGAAGCGAACAACAGACACAAAGATAGAGAGAAAGAGAGATAGGGAGAGGGAGGGAGGATAGATAGAGAGAAAGAGAGATAGGGAGAGGGAGGGGAAGATAGAGCGAGAGAGAGATAGGAGAAAGGGAGGAGATAGGGAGATGGGAGGGAGGATAGATAGAGAGAAAGAGAGATAGGGAGAGGGAGGGAGGATAGATAGAGAGAAAGAGAGATAGGGAGAGGGAGGGAGGATAGATAGAGAGAAAGAGAGATAGGGAGAGGGAGGAAGGATAGATAGAGAGAAAGAGAGATAGGGAGAGGAGGGAGGATAGTAGAGCGACGAGAGATGGGCGGGAGGGAGGATAGATAGAGAGAAAGAGAGATAGGGAGAGGGAGGGAGGATAGATAGAGAGAAAGAGAGATAGGGAGAGGGAGGGAGGATAGATAGAGAGAAAGCGAGATAGGGAGAGGCAGGAAGGATCTCATGTACAGAAGGAGAAGGGAGATAGAGGGTGACAGCAAGAAAAAGAGAGAGGGGCAGGGGAACAAAAAGAAAGGGGGAGGATGTCAGGAAGAGTAAGAGGAAGACGAGACCTTGTTCTGGAGACACTGGCTGAAGTCTGTCTTCATGTCAGAGACGGACACTCTGTCGTGAGGTCTCTTTGGTCCACTCAGAGAGGGCACCACTGTTGACAGGTCCAGCTCCAGGATCTGGTGTATTGGCAGAGATAGCAGTCAATGAGGCAGGTCTCAACAACTTGGTAGCGAGGTAGAAGGCAAACAAGTCAACTACGCCCAGGACAGCTCTTTCTTTTCAAAGAAAAAAAGAAGAGTTTCCCTGGGTGGGATTCGCACCCACGACACTCTGCAGTCTAGGCGAGCGCTCTACCAACTGAGCTACCATCTCTTACTAGAGCATGTGCCAAGATGCTGAGTGGCAACAGACTAAGAAACAGGATGCGATATGTATGTTAAAATGTGTGTACTTACAAAGTCGTCCCTAAAACATCAGCTGAACTAAAAGGGAAATGTTGCCCCAAACACAAGGGTGTCATGTGTCCAACACAGGAAGTCCTTACAATGTCATGTGACATGGAAATAACAATGTCATGTGACCCACAGGGAAAGTCAATAATATCATAACCCATACACACCCACAGAGTCGTGAGGATATCATGTGACCCACAGGTAAAAATCATGTGACCTGTGAGAAGGCGGGGTCTTGTTCGCTGTTGGAGTAGTCTCTGAACATCCCCACAGCTCTCAGGTACTTCTCTATCATCTCAACACTCCCTGCCTCCCTACCTGTAAGACACATTTTGAACCATTCTACGTGGTGTACAATTGCCCCTTTTGAAGCCACTTGGTTCCAAGTTACTGCCCTCTATGGCTTAAGCTACTATAACAATCAATTACTGTTGGACTAGGCCTAAATCAGAGGAGGTTGGACACGCATCATAGATTACGTAACGAGTTGCTAAGGCAGCAACCTCTCTCTCTCATAGAGAATGTATGGCGGATACAAAAGCCTCACTGAATCGAAGCCAAGCACACATTGTGCTACATGCTGAAGAAAGGATGCTATGTGTATATAGCATCGCATTTATACTGACTGTCTATACTATACGATGTGTATTACTAGTGAATCAGTATTGTCAGCCTACACTCTAAACTTCAAGTACCTGTCTGACGTAGGTATTTGATGCTCATGTCGTCCACGGGGAAGTAGCCCACAGTGGCTCCGTACTCGGGACACATGTTGGAGATGGTGGCTCGGTCCGCGATGGACAGCTGGGCCACTCCCGGACCAAAGAACTCCACAAACTTACCCACCACTCCGACCTGACGGAGATGCTGCAGTACAACAGTACAACACTATATGGTATGGCCAGCATCATAATATACTGTATATAGAGAATAAATAAGCCCATTCATGACATGGTTGCTTACTCCTCCCCCTCATCAATAATTATGCTCTGAGCATACACCAGTTCCAAACACAAAAACAAAATTCTTACACGCGGCAACTTTGTTAAAAGTTGCAGCAATTTCCAATTCTTTTTGCCGCGTGTATGGCCTGCTTTAGCTTCGTTTTTTGGTACTGTGGATGTACCCACTGAAAATATGTACAGCTGTGTGTATGGAGTGTGTTACAATACCTTGGTGATGGTGAGTACAACGTCAGTAGATGTGGCATATGAGCTGACAACACCTGTCAATTTGTAGCCTACAACCTGAAACGAGAAGTTTAGACCAACAAATGTTTTAAAACATGTTTATTTAGATTAACCAGCATCCTGAATGCACAGCTATCAACACACAGACGCAGAAAGAAGCACTCGTTGTGGGGTCATTAACAACAATGTTTAGCAGTAGCTGACTAGAAAAAAGCTGTCACAGTGAGATACCTCTATACTATGTATTGCTGGCTAACGCTACGTACCTCACCCAGTGTATTGAATATACGTACCACATCTATTCAAGATCACTAAATGTAGTTTGATCACGAAGCAGTAGCAGTAGCTGACTAGAAAAAAGCTGTCTCAGTGAGATTCCTCTATACCATTGCAGCTAACGCTACCTCACCCAGTGTATTGAATATACGTACCACATCTATTCAAGATGGTCCTAACTTTCATCATCACGAAATGTGTAGTGAAAGGTGTGTACATCTGTGTATATTTATCAACAATACATCATATGTACAGACCTGGGGTAGCACCATGGATATACACTGTCCCAGCATCACTGCCTCGGCCTCTATACCTCCTACACCTGTGTGTATATATATAACACATACAGTATAGCGGCAGTAATATGCAGTCAATGTGTAAAGGCTGATTATACAGTGTAGTTAAACTCGCTGTGGAATTTCACAAGTATTTCTCCCAAATATTTCCTCACTGTATGTACAGGTATTGCTCAGTTATGTATATGGACCATGTGATGCCAAGAGAAAAAAGATGCGGAGCTCTGGACCGCTGTTTCTGGCTTGTTGGCCCTCATCACCAGAGCATACCGCAACTTCTCCCTCTGGCATCACGAGTTTATAAAGGCTACCAGGAGCGCAGCATTTGCCATGTACACGACAAGCAACAAATGATGAGGAAAAGAGGTAGCGGTGGTCTGGACTGGACAACCACACTTATTGTTAGCCCCTTATCAGCACTTTCTCCACGCATCAGGTATATACTACATACAGTGGAATCTCCGATAAGGGACCCTCTGAGATAGGGACGACCTCTCTACAAAGGACACTTGTTTCAACTCCATGCTAATACTTTAGTGTATTAATTGACCTACGGGATAGGGACGACCTCTCTACAAAGGACACTTGTTTCAACTCCATGCTAATACTTTAGTGTATTAATTGACCTATGGAATAGGGACGACCTCTCTACAAAGGACACTTGTTTCAACTCCATGCTAAAGTGTATTAATTGACCTATGGGATAGGGACGACCTCTCTACAAAGGACACTTGTTTCAACTCCATGCTAATACTTTAGTGTATTAATTGACCTACGGGATAGGGACGACCTCTCTACAAGGGACACTTGTTTCAACTCCATGCTAATACTTTAGTGTATTAATTGACCTACGGGATAGGGAAACCTCTCTACAAAGGACACTTGTTTCAACTCCATGCTAATACTTTAGTGTATTAATTGACCCATGAGATACTAGGGACGGCCTGACAAACTCGTTTGCCCCAGTGTCTTGGTGTGTACACAGTATCAGTACACAGGAGTATGCAATGTTTGAATGATGTAATCATGATGTAATGAGGGAGTTACCCCATCCAACGATGCCGAGACCATTGATCATAGTGGTGTGGCTGTCGGTGCCCACCAGACTGTCAGGATAGAGGAGGCCTCCGGAATTGAACACCACACGACCAAGATATTCTAGATTGACCTGATAATAGAGGAAGGAGGGAACAAAAGAGAGAGGGAGAGAGAGGGAGAGAGGGAGAGAGAGGGAGAGAGTCAAAGAGTGGGAGGAGAGTGACAGAGTGAGAGAGAGGGAGAGAGGGAGGAGGGCAGAGGAAGAAGAGGAAGAGAGAAAAGAGAGGAAAGGAACTTACCATACACATAGCTGCCTGGGAGCCTATATTCATACATCACTGGAAATCCATGGTTTTGTGTACAAAACCCTGAATTTCCCGCCATACAGTACAACATGATTAGACAATAAACATTATGAAACATTATGTCAACATGGGATTTGTAGCAGCTCATCTCAAGACAGATTGTCTCAGTGGGTAACGACAGCATTCCATACACATACAGATTACGTAACAGTATAAGACACACAACACTACATATACACATACACACACACACACCTGGTGCACAATGCCGCAGCCGGGCGGGACAATGAGCATGTTCTTGAAGGCCTTGGCTCCCCACTTGAGGAACACGAACCTCTCCCTGTTCCGTTCCATCTCCATGGCCTGGTTCCGGGTCAGAGCCTCACTGCTACAAAACAACAGTTCACAACACAACGATAGAAACAGGACGGAGTTGAGTCCATACAAACAGGACGGAGTTAAATCATACACATAGGTCCAACATAATAGGAGTCAAAAAACACGTTTCGTAGGTGGCCTTGTTTTTTGACTCCTACTTCAGCCCCTATTTACTACAACCTAGGGGGAAAATGGTGTGATCCATCCTGTATGTACGTATCTAGTACATATGAACAAAGCACACAGGGACTAGCTGGAGATAGAGTGTCCAAACCTTTACAACAATGGTATGAACAGGTCAACTTACCATCTTCATTACCTCTACAAGCATTGGGTTGAAACGGCAGTGAAGCTACTTAGAGGAAAATATAGTGGCCTGAGTTTCGTTCTTTTAGCAAGTACGCGAATGAAAGGACAGGTCAACCAACCATCCAGACTACCTTGACTATAGAGCTGGAGAGTGCAGACGAAGTGGTGTAAGAGACTCACAGCTAGGCAGTGGGTGATTTAAATTTCCGTTCTTTTTACTAGTACGTGAGGGAAAGGACAGGCCAACCAATAATCCTGAACACCTTGACTATAGCTGGAGAGTGCAGTGCAAACCATAAAGATTACCAACGGGAACATACATACATACAGTAGTGGTACAGTAGCCTTAGTAAGCAAACTGTCATGTTTACAAAATCCCCATAAACCAACCTCCTGAAGTAGTCCACCTGTACAGAATGGTCGATGACTAGGTCAGCAGGACAGACGGGGTTAATCAGGGAAGGGTCTCCCCCCAGGGATTTGACTGCATCTCTCATGGCGGCAAAATCTACCACTGCGGGCACCCCACTGTATGTAGATAATCACAGAGAGACGAGGGGATAACAGTAAGCGAGGGGAGAGGGGGAGAGGACAGATAGCAGGAAGAGGGAGAGAGAAAAGGAGGTAATGAGCCCAGAGTGATAGTACTAGTGACATTACTCTCCCTGAGACTCGGTGGTAGAGAGCATTCTGTCTAGAGAACAGAATGTTTTGTGTTCTAATCCCACCTACATGTATGTACATACACGTACATGTAGGGCAGCCCTTTAGAAAGGGTTGCTGTGTTGAACTGCACTTGCCTATGTATTGTGTTTAATCCCCTGATTCATGTATGTATGTACAGTATGTAAAAACCCACGTAAAGTCCTGTAGGATGACTCTGGCGGGACGGAACGGGATCTCGATCTTCTTGTCCTGGTTCTGGTTCCAGTCCAGGAGGTTGGTCACATCCTGACTCGTGATCTGGAACCCATCGCAGTTCCTTATCCCTGACTCCAGCAGAACTCTGATCGAGTACGGCAGACGATCTGTATGTATGTGTCATCAATAAGGTCAAGGGAAATAAAAAAGCACTAAAGTGCAAACCCTCGGCGAACTGCGCATGCACGATACCGCTAATTGATGGCTGGGCTATTAGTATGCATTTACTCGTGGTCTCCCGCTAGTATGTAGCTCGCGGAGAGTCTGACACGAGCTAGCTACAGTGGTAGATAGCATGCAGGAGTCGATACACGACCTTCGTTGTGACTTCTTGTGCCTTCAAGATACGCAGAGAGAGCGAACCCGCTCGAGGTTCTAATTTGCATATTGGCTTTTTCGCTCGTGTTTCACACCGTAACTCTCGAACGCAGCAGTTTCAGAGAAAACCCCACATATGTTTCGACCTACTCCCGACACTGAATATATACCTGGTATCGTTTGTGGAGCGATTGATGGCTCGCGAAGTGAGATGTCGGGTAACAGACAGACAGACAGACAGACAGACACACACACACGACAACTACAGTTACCCTCGCTGCGTATGCGCGCCGAGGGTTAACAACACAACACCGACCAACACCACATCCAGGACAACTCTGTTTTCAAAGGATAACAAAGCTGCCCTGTTGGATTTGAACCACCACACTCTGCAGTGTAGGCGAGTGCTCTACCAGCTGAGCTACCGGCTACCAGGGAAACTCAGGTGGCAGGGGTCCAATGTACAGCACAAATACAACACAAGACAAAGGCAAAGGCTAACGGCAAACAACTCTCAATCATGATCATTACACATGTGGACAGGAAGATCGAGACAATGTGTGGTCCTGTTTATGGTATAAAGACCAGTAACCTCTTATCTAGCCAGATTCCGCTGTCCCACTAACTTCCGAAGTCAGCATCTCATAGTTTACTTCGAAACGTGATGGGAAGCAGCCTCGCAATACAGAGATTTGTTGTATCAAAGCTTTGTTTTTTAAACAACAAGTGGTCAATTAAAGATGCCTAGTCCTAGGAGTATATCAAAGTCCAAACACAAGCTCAATGAGCATTCCACCATACATAGATGCCACTCACCATACTTATCTCCCCCGAGACCCGGCAGGTCAAAGTAGTTTCCCTCCCTTCCTCCAAACTCCAGAGTCTTTAGGTAGTCGACGTACGGGTGACTACCTGCAGACAAAGAGCATGCACAATAGGGTGGTTTCAAGACATCATGGAAGTATGATAAAGACTGAACGCCGTGAACCGTGTCACCGCTGAAAGGCAAGACAGAGCCCACACGCTCTAACCTGTCTCCATCTTTGTTTCTCCCTCGAGAGCTCACGCCACCCCTAGACACCTTTGTACCTTCCTGTTTTGGTCAAGGGACAAGAGTCAATTTCCTCCAGCGCAGTCAGCGTAATGCTGCGCATGCGCATAAGTTGCAGCTCGGCCGATCCTCCTGCATGCAAGTATAGTTTTAGTCTCGACCCACCACAGACCGCGGAGAACAATTTGCTGGGATGTGGTCGACTCTATTCGCGTGGTTACTGGTCACAGTTTCTCTTTGTATTGCTTCTGAAGGTAGATACTTACACGTCGTCAGAAGGCGCGGTGACTCCTCGCCCTTCGCTGCAGGTGACGTCGTGGACGTTGCCGGACCGGAGGAAAGCGATCTGCTGCCAAACTTTGAAGATGCTAGGAAGGAAAAAGGTGTATATCATTTTTGTGGATGTTACCGATTGTTATATTTGACTATGGGTAACGTTCCGGGGAAGTGGCGTTGTCGTGTAGCTATTGTAAAAAGTGCAGGTGGGTTGCATGCAAATAAGTCGGCATCGTGGCAAGACAAACTCTCTTATAATAACTGGAGCCTTCGTTTCATTTGTTTTGTTCCAATGAACTGAAAACCGAAATAATGCAGATTGAATTACATACCAGTATTTAACTCACCAATGTGCATAGCTAAAATGTGCAAGGTTTACTAGCAATGTATAACCCAGGTCTTATGTTCCATGGTTTACCGTTACCACTTCAATCAGGACCTGGTTACAATACGTGACAAAGCCCCAATTTCAGCATGTGAACTACATGTGAGTACAACCACTACAACGCCAGGAGCCCGGGACATGTGTTTAACGTAACCCCCCTCCCCCAGGGCCAAATGCTATTCCATGATTAGTTTTTTTAAGCATCTAACACGTTTAATTGCACAGTGCGTGTTATCTTACCCAGTTCCATATGCATGCCACCGATATCCTATTATCATTTTCCATGTTTGTTCTTAGACGACAGTGATGCTGCCGTCATACAGAAAGTGAAGAATAAACACAGCAGCAGTCATGTCCGGCCTCATTCTGTTCCTGGTAAAGACCCCTCAACCAGCAGTCAGCAGAACCATCCGGCCAAGCCATCAGCTGGTGGTGCCACCAGAGAAACACATCAAGGCAAGGAGGTTGAGAAGGCTCCTCTCATTTTTGCCGAAACCAACAGGAACCGAGTCGGATGGCTCATGCCAGATGAATCTATACCCGAGTGACCCCTCTTTATTATAGTTATTAATCATCATCAGCACTCTAGCTTTCCAGTAACGTTATTCTTTATGGCTGTGATCAATTTGGGAGAATTCATAGTGTTCATAACAATTATTATACTAGCCAAACGTATAATAATTACATAATGTGAACATTACAACAGAACAGTGCAGAATTTGACACGATCCACACAAAGATCCACATGTATTATTGACACATTGACACACAATGGTACGTTTGGTATTCAACACGAAGTGCAGAATGTCACAGAATGAAGAATTATTTAAAGTCCAATGTATCGCCGGATGTATCATAGATTCTGTATCAGGATCAACAATGGCAAGAAAGGAGGTAGTCCAGATGGTTTAGAGATGGCGGGAGAGAGATGCCCCGAGAGCTGATGTCAGAGGAGGGAGAGTGTGGGAAAGTCACGGGGAAGACGCGGTCTATGCTGGCCATTAGGTGAGCAGGGTCAGTTAGGTCAGCTCCGTTCTTCTGGGCCACCAGTCGTATGATGGAGGCCGGGACACGCTCTTCAAATTCGTTTGCTGGCGAGTACATTGTGAGGAGTTTTTGGACCTTTTTGGGGGAGGCGGGGAGGGTGGAAGGAAAAGAGAGGGAGGAAGGAAATGAAAAGGTGGGAGAGTTGAGAGATCATGTAAGTATATACAGTAGGCGTGAACTTGTGTCAACGGCAAAGGTGTGCTTGGAATGTCCCCATGATATCCAGCTTTCTGTCAGGTATGATAATTATGGGTACATACTGTCTGACATGGGGACTAGGGTTACCTTTATGGGTGTCATTATCCCCATACCACGGTCCATCCTATATACCAGCAGGACCAACCACAAGACCAATAGTGAGTGAGCCATAACTGTACAACTGACAGAGTATTTGACGACTCGACCACATAACACCATAACACACTGATCTTTAATAATTCTATGCACACTAAAGGTCAACAATCATACACTGCGCAGCTTGTTTCAAGAGAAAAAGCCTCAATATCATGTGTACATAATGGTGGTTCCATTGTTAAAGTTTCGGAACGTTTATTGCATGCCATTTACACGTATATATATCTTACAGTAGGCTTTATACCTATGCACATTATATTATGACCACTGTTCTCTCATTAATGTTATGGAGTGAAATCACTATCTAAGTACCGTACACAATGAGGTTAAGATTTTCTAGTATACACAGGAATTATATGTTGTGCTGTAGCGAAATGCAAGCTATCTAAAGTTGGCAACTTTGATTTATTTGCTCCTTCTCACCAACAATGAATAACATTCACCAAATTCCACACAATTGTACATACATATGCATAATGTCATCTTAGGTATGCTAAAACAGTTTACATTTAGTCTAGGACAGGTCTCATGGTGTTTAATTAGGGCAGCTATTTAGACTCCATAGCAGATTGTCAGCTAACCATCACCTAAACAGTATCCTATGTGCTTTACATGGTAAGGTAGAGTGTACCCCTTATGTACACACATACATACATACTTACATACATAAGTATATACCAGCTGGAGTAATTTGCTTGGAATTTTCTGTTATCACTGTCATTAGGTCTGCATAGTAGCTTCCCATTGTTATGTTACAATGGCACTGTAAAGCCAGCTGAGTTAAAAGCAATGTCGCCAAATGACACTCAGAGAAAGACATGAGAGTATGAGGGAGGCTGAAGTAGTATAATATGTTGGGGACCAATTAAAACCCCAGCCCGTTTTAAGCGTCCCAACATAATATAAATTAGCACCTGTTGCACTCTGAACATTAATACACTAAGATTTGTTGCCATTCTTGTGCTATTTGCCCTTGCAAGGCTCATGCTGTCCTGTCTGGGTACAGCAACGGATATCCCTAGGCAAATCTGCTTGCACATGTAGGGTAGCATAGGCTGATAAAACCCCCCAGTACCTAGCTTCATACTTGTCGGTTGCCTAGGGATATGGGATATCCAACAACATAATTATAGTACAAGTGGAAAAATCATTTCTTCAAAATGAAGGGGGATATAGAAGAATGCACAAAACTACAGCTGTGTAATGACCCTTGTTTCTTCATTTTTGGTGATTTGAGCCATCCCTACATCCCCCATCATTTTAAACTTTTGTTTCCACTATTTTTTTTATTGAACAGCTCTGACGGCACTGCGTTTTCTTGTTGAGAGGTAGACCATGAAGAAATGTTAACTGCATGGCAAAGTGAAAGCACCAGACCCTAGTGACATGTAGTTGGATATACGTAGACAGAGATACTAAAACCCTGCAGGCCTACACAAGCCATAGCTAATGGGTTTCATGGGCAGCCCCCGTGCTCGGCACATGCTCATTGCTGAGTTAGCAGCAAATGGCGTCGTTCAGTGTCGACCATGGTAGAGCTCCATGATCTACCGTAGTGACTAGCGGTAAGAAAGAAACTATCGCTTGATGACCGTGCACACCTCCAGCGAATCTGGAAATCAGCACTTCAACTGGTTCCAGTTTGGAGATAGCGTGGTTAAAGAAGAAGTTTACGATGATGACATGAAATTTGTGAAATCGCGTATGAGCGAATTCTCCTGTGGAGGACTGAAGATACCTACATATGAGGTCTTTGGGAACATGTATGGCTAGATATGGGCCTGTAGACTATTGCTAGTGTGTTTTGAAGGCCTAGGGAGTCGTTCTCACAGAGTTTTAGGTGTTATGTTTGCGGATCACGTGAGATTTGACCAATACCATTCTAGCGTCTACCAACGGCTCTAATACTGTACTTTCTGCTATGTGAGGGAACAACAAGTAAACAAGTATTACACTGATACATGTCCCCAAGGAAACAAGTGAAATGTTCCAAACAAGTGGGTTGGACTAAACAACCCTGCTGTGGGTTGTGCACACAAGACAACATACTTAAAAAAAAACATGTATAGTATAATATGTGCCTGTATCCTCCTCATAGTATATACTCCCTAAGGACCAAAAGTGTGGGGAATTACCAGTCAAAATGGTGGTATATGGGTGGTCTACACATGCACATGTAATGACAAATATGCACTGCACCTGTGCACTCAATCAGTTTTCACACACTAAGCAGAAGACACAACGTTGTGTACTACCGTAGGGGTGACAGTAATAACTAGAAGCAAGCGACATTGAAAATCCCTCACACCAAGTGGAAAAAAGTAATGAGTTTCTGTGCTGTAAAACAGTTTTTTTTGGGGGGATTTGCCTTGCGATAAATATTGAGCCTGAGCTGCCCTGGTAGCTTCATGTAGAGCCCTCTGCTTAGAGCAGGAGTGTCAATTTCCACCTAGGGAGCTTCCTTACTGGATTGCGCTTGAGGTTTTGTTAAACCATTATGCACTTGGCATGCATCCACACCCCATTATGTAATATACATGCTGCCTTACTTGTAGGGGATTAAGGTGAGTGCAAAGTTCACAGATGGATTCAGCATCCTTGGCTGTGCTCTTTTTCATCTGGAGCAGTTTGGCGGCTTCCACGGAGGGTAGTAGCTGACTCAGCACTTCTGCTCCTCCCAGTCTGTTGGCTCTTGCCCAGTCTTCCAGCTGACTCAGGTTGTAGCTGGAGGGATCAGGGGAGGAGGGAGGGTGTAATTGTCAGGCAAAGTGAGCCCACCTACGTAGTCGTCTGAATGCAGGATTTATGAAACGTACGGGCACTGCTACATACCGTAATGTTATAGGCAATTTCTTAAAAAGCGTGAAACACACGAAAAATGGAACTGCTCGCTTAGCTAGCCAGAAATGCAATATTCCAGAACACAGGTGTATTAAGTATGCACTGCATGTTCTATTGCCAAATTGAGACCTCACTACGAGGAGAGCTAATATCACTTCATATTGTAGGTGTAATTCTACATCCAGTCAACTATGTATACATATATTGTGTCACCCCGAAAGCATCCGAAAACCACACTTTACACTCACAAAAAGCCAATAACCCCATTGAAAGGGGTTAAGTTCTGACCGTATCTGAATTCCTTTTGACCAGTGGCACATGTCCCTCCTCAGCAACAAGTTGTTGAGTAGGAAAGCATGGATGGTGTAGAATATCTGCTTCGTGACGGCGGTGACTATTTCGCACGGCAGACGGTGTGCCTGTAGCACTTCCAAGATGGCCGACAGCTCCCTGGTGATGGTCGTCACGGTGATGTTTGGGTTGTGGGACCCGGCGTGGCAACCGAGTATGGGGCGAACGGTGGAAATGTTGGGGATCGAGTCACATTCCAGGACACCGGGAACTGCAAGAGATGGATGGGTTAAGAAGAGTTAGAGAGACGCGACAGAGAGCTGGCATGGGTGGGGCTCACACTGTCTGCACTGCAACACTTGCAACACACTACTCCAAATGGTGTAACAAACTGCTCGTACGTAACTCATCAATAATTGTGCTACTTATCATGCAAGCATCAACGAGGCCGCAAGGCAAAGGCAAACAATTCAACTACACCCAGAACAACTCTTTTTTTCCCAAGGAAAAATAAAGAGGTGCCCTGGGTGGGATTTGAACCCACGACACTCTGCAGTCTTGGCACCCGCTGTGCTACCAGGGCAGCTCAGTAGGCAGGGGCTCAAATCTACAACACAATGCAATTATCATGACCAGAAAGCTCGGGGAAATCTTTGTTTCCAACAAGAGGGTGCACGATGTTACATGTACAGTACATATGCATTGCATGCACATACATACGTATGTATACACGCTGAGAGATGTAATATGATACACATTCACTGAGTGCGGCTATGAATATCATTATAAAACTGACCAATCAGAGGCTGTATCTTGTTGTGGATGAGTTGGAGCAGGTCTCTGTACGTCGCCTGACCAACTACCTCCAACTTGTCGACACGAGCCGAGAGGTCAGAGGTCACGACGGCCTGCGGACCCGGTTTCATACCGGTTTGACTGGTTTTGTGAAGGAGGCCCAGGAGGTGGACGACGTTGGATAACCAGAATGACAGGATTGAAAACTGGGAGGACCCAGTCTGCGTTGAGAGTGTGTGCCATGACGAGTGAGGGAGAAAGAGAGAGTTAAGAGAAATTGTAATGGGAATGTGACAGTAAAATATGAGAGATGCTACTAAAAGATATATATCAATGCCATTGCTACGTATGTGTACGTGTAGCTTGAGAGTGCAGAAATGATGGTGGAAAAAAGTGTATTACTTTTAGTGAGTGCATGAGAGATATAAATGGCAATGGATGAAAGTGGCCTAATCTTTAGCAAGTGTGTGAGAGAAAAACAGGCCAACCTGTATAAGCTTGTGGCAGTATGTATGCTAAATAAAACAGAAAGACATAATGTTTTCACTTGGCCCGAGTTCCTTCTCTTTCTGTTATATTTAGCATACATACGGCCACTTAAGCTTATAGGGGATCTTGTGGAGGGGACTTTTCACTAGCTAAGTAACATACTTGTAAGCACATACGCAGTCTATAGGTGTACAGGTTGGCCTGTTTTTCTCTCACATACTCGCTAAAGATTAGGCCACTTTTATCCATTGCCATTTATATCTCTCGTGCACTCACTAAAAGTAAGACACTTTTTTCCACCATCATTTCTGCACTCTCAAGCTACACGTACACATACGTAGCAATGGCATTGAGGATGGTTAGTTGACCTGTCCTTTACTCTACCCACTCAAAGTAAAAGTAAAGCCACTTATTCCACAGTACATTCTGAGTAAAGAGCACCACATACAATGGGCAGAACACAGTGCATCAGACCTGCACGACTTGTTGTATGGCAGAGGCCACTTCATCCAGGAACCCCATGGCAACTCCACAGCTCCCTGTCACATGACGACAGTAGCGGAGACCCACGTGGATCATGTGAGCCGGGAGACAGGGGTTTTCCACCGACACCCCCTCTGGACTCAACTCCAGGACCAGCTCCTTCACCAGTTTTGACTGTTGGGGGCGTGACCATCCGGGTTGCCGTGACGATAACGAGGGGGCGTGGTTTGAGAATGAAACGAGTCTCTTGGCAGAGGAGATGGTGGATTTCCTCTGAGGGGAATCTGAGTGATAAGGGGAGGAATGGAAAATCTTCCAGCTACATACATACAGATCATCAGTGCACACACACACTGTACATACGTTGACAGCAGAACTGTAGAAACTTTGTATCTGAAACCTTCCCCCCTAACCATCAGCATCCGATGAATAATTAACAGGGTCTAAGGCTCCTTCCAAATCAAAATATGCCTCATACTGTATGCTGTGCCACCCATGTATCCATTAACAAAACTTTCCTCACACTGCGTATGTGTCCAAAGGCAAGCAATGAATCGCAGCTCACATTCCACCCTTCACCACTTGGATGCTTTGCTAATAGTACACTAATCTATTTAGCATGGGGGAAACCAGGTGTCCCTTATAGAGAGTGGTGTGATTATTTATGTATGTATGTGTATGTATGTATACGTATGTTGCAGTGCCCAGACAGGACAGCATGAGCCTGACATGTATGAAGCTAGGTACTGGGGGATTGTATCAGCCTATACAATCATACATGTGCAAGAAGGGTTCATTGTACATGTCATTTGCCTAGGGATATCCAACAAGTGTATGCATGTGTATGTATGTATGCATGTATGTATGTATGTATGTACCAGCTCCACAGGGAGTGTTTCGTCGTCGTGGAGACATGGGGGTTCGGTACCCACTGCGTTCTGCTTTTCTCACATCTTCCAAAGTCTCCAGGAGACTCTGAGAGAAGAGAAATGGGATGGAGGGAGGAGGGAGGGAGGGAAGGCAAAGGAATGGCACAAGAGGAGGAAGGGGGAAATTTGTGAACGACAAGCAGCAAGAAAAACACTCATGCAACTTCAAATTAGGCTATAATATAAAGGGGATCATCCCTTCCCTGAAATATTGATACCAAGGTGAACATACATACGTAGTTACCCACATACAGTGAGACATGAAGTCACTCATAACTATATACATGAGTACCACATGCACAACACAGCATCGGTTCCTCTTTATTGTTTATCGACACTTTTCAGTGGTGTTACATGCTCTAAATTTTCGCCAAAATAAATAAACGGCATACATAATGGTCTGCAAAAGATGAAAAAGAATGTATAGGGAATGTGGCAGTATAATAAGGGTTATAATTTTGAAATTGTTACTAAAAATGTAACCTAATTACATTCTTGCATTGGGCCCCATTGTTTAGTTCTATCTCTTTAGTAACATTTCTAAATTTATCCCTTATGTATAATTATACTGACACATTCCCTTTAAGGGCTATGTATGAAGTGTTTATTTAACCCTCATGGAAGGTGTGCTTTGTAAAAAAATTATCACACATGATAGCCTAATTTGGAAACTTGTTTGGATGTTAAAGTCAAAACTGCTGAGTCGACAGACACCAATGTACGTATTGAAGCATCGAGGCAGCAAACAGAAAACTTTCATATTGTCCTAGAGATAGAAGACACGAGATAAGACAACTGAAGTGCAGCGTGAGAGTGAGATCCAGATGTAGCTGACTGTAATGTGCAGAGAAGCGACAGTAAAGGTGTAAACGGTGAGAAGTGGGCTCTGAGAGTAGCTACATACAGGGACTGGAAATTTATTGTGCAGATAACAAACTTGCATAGTTGTCTATGTGTATGTAGTTACCAACTCTGCATCTGAAGCAATACTGAGAGATATGTACGTACATACTAGTTATTATATCGCATACAGCCATGTTATTTCCTCACCTTTCTGTATAACATTTCAAGAGCGGAAAGACGACTGAGTGTTTGTAAAATACCTTTCAGTGTAAAAATACTTCTGCTCAGTTTATCATTCTCTCACACCTGAACGCAGGCATATGGCAGAGAAACTGACAAAGTTTGTCTACCGCGAGATTGAGCTCTACAAATCTGAGAGTCTCGGTAGTGGATCATATGGAGGGGTGTGCAAGGCCAAGTGTGATGGACTGCTGTGTGCTGCCAAGATCATGCACCCCACTCTCTTTGACCTGCGTGACCCCGGAACAGCCACCTACCTTTGTAAGTTCCGGGAAGAATGCCACCTACTTAGTCTAGCGAGGCACCCCAATGTGGTCCAGTACCTGGGTACTTACACTGACCCTGACACACGACTGCCTGTTCTCCTCATGGAGCTCTGCGACGAAAGTCTGACAGCATTCCTGGAGCGATCCCCAGGACCACTGTCCTACCACATCCTGGTGAACATCTCCTACGACATAGCACTGGCTCTGGTCTACCTACACTCCAACGGTCTCATCCACAGAGACCTAACGGGGAACAACGTCCTGATGATTCCTGGTCCTCGAGCAAAGATCACCGACTTCGGGATGTCCAAACTTGCCAGTGTCAATCCTCGCATGACGGCCTTGACCCTGTGTCCAGGTAACGTCCTGTACATGTCACCTGAAGCCTTGGAGAGTGCAAAATCCTACACTACACAACTCGATATCTTCTCCTTTGCCGTAATAGTCATCCAGATATTGACACGACTATTCCCAAATCCAACCGACCGTCTTAGGAAAATTCACATCGAGGGATTAGAAGACGTTCGTGTGGTAGTTCCAGAGACAGAGCGTCGCAAGGCCCACCTCGAGTTGATCCCAGATACTCACGCTCTGAAGCCACTAGCACTCCAATGCTTGAAGAAGGAGGACGAGCGACCCTCAGCTATACAAGTCAGTGAGAGACTTGTCGAGTTTAAGCAATCCTCACAGTATATAAAGAGCATGGATCTAGCACAGAATAGGATGCAAAAACTCGAGTTGGAACTCCAACAACAGAAAATCTTTACTGAAGTTAGGGAAAGTGAAAATAAGGAATGCCGCACACAAATTGCATGGCTAGCCAGCGAGATGGAGAAGCAAGTCCAGGAACATAGCAGTCAAAGAGCTAGCTGGGACCAGGCTTTCAAAAGTAAGAACAAAGAGTTGTACGATACGCAAGTAAAACTGCAATCTAGTGAGCGGATGGTGGTAGACCTACAACAGAGCCTCCAGCACAGGGACCAGACCATCACTGAGCTCCACAGGACCATATCAGACCACCAGAGAAAGATTCAACAGCTGCAAGAGCAGGGAGACATGGCCAGTAGAGGCCAACCAGTACCAGAGGCACTCACAACACCACAGAACACAGTGGCACCGGCTCAGAATGAAATCGGGAACGTGAGGTGGAGGGAGGGGAAGGATGCACCAACCAGAATGTGGAGGGGAGCGGTAGTAGTCCGCGGGACCACAGCCTACTTGAGACCTGGCAACTCGCGCTGTGTGTTCTCGTATCGACACACTCCAAGAGGACCAGGAGGAGGGGGAGAAGAGTGGGGTGTGCTTCCAGACGTTCCCAACGGAAGTGGCGGCCTCATCGTCATACGAGATCTACTCACGAATGTGGGTGGAAGGAACAATGGCGCACCCACCAACACTCTTCTGAGTCTCACAGGAGAAGGCACCAGGAAAGAGTGGACCGAAATGTTTCCTCCCATGCCAACTCGGCGTCGCAGTACAGCCTGTGTAGCTACATCACAGGCTCTGGTTGTAGCGGGAGGCTACGGACAGAGTACCCATCTCGACGCCGTGGAAGTGTTGAACCTAGACGCCAGGCAATGGATCGCAGTCGCTTCTCTCCCACAAAAGTGTTCGTCGTTGTCGGCAGTTGTACGCGGAGACACACTGTACTTGGCAGGAGGCATCACAGAGTACTGCTTCTCAAAGTCAGTCTTCGCCTGCTCTCTTCCCGATCTCGTTCCGCCAGCTTCCCTGGGATCCAGAATACCTTCCTCGTATTGGCAACGTAGCAAATGGCAAGAAGTGTGCAGTGTACCGGTGACGAGATGCTCCCTTGTCAGGTTTGGTGGTGACCTACTAGCCATCGGTGGGAGAGACGACTCAGACAATCCTTCCTCCAGTGTCTATCGATACGACTCCCGGGTTAACACTTGGACGTTGGCTAGTAGGATGAAAAACAGGCGATCAGCTTGCCTTGCAGCTGCTCTGTCCGAGGACTGCCTCATTGTGGTCGGAGGGTTCACTTCCAAGAACTTTTGTTCCAATTCAGCGACAAATAGTGTGGAAATGTTGGAATTAGCACCGATTTTGCCTACATCCGTTAATACGTAGGAGAACCAGACAATATACATAGCTATAGCATGTATGTATCGTTAACACTATGAGTCTAACATAATGGCCAAGAAATGGATGCGAGACGATGAGAAGGAAGTATGTTAGGGTACTGCTCATTAAAGATCCAAATGCGATTGATATGTTAAGTGGGAAAGGATGAAAGTAAAAATATCACATTGTGATAAAAGCAAGCAAATGAGGGAGAGAGGGGGAGAGAGGTGTAGCTACATACTGAAGAAGAAATGATATGAATCGAGGAAAGAGGAAGCAGGACAGAGAAGAGAGGGAGAGAGGTGTGGTAAGCAAGGATTAAGAGAGAGGGAAGAAGGGAGCTCACCAGGTTATCCTCAGTCAGTCTAGCCACCTCCTGTTGAAGACTGGTGTTCAGACTTGACGCAACCGATGCCTGCTGGAGGGCCTGTTTCAACACGGCCACCTTGTTAGTGAGGCACTCAACTCTCCCCTCACTTCGCTCCACCTTCCTCCTCGAGCTGTCTTCCCTCTCCCGCACGGCTGCCAGGTCGTGTCGGAGCATGCTGTTATCTCGGGCCAGCTTACGCAGCGTCGACACTGTCTTTGTGTTGGTGGCGTCGAGTTTGTTCAGCTCTCGGGATATCTCCCTGTTCCCCAGCATCAGGTCCCGCCTCTCACGCTCCAGCTGCTCCAGAACTTCTTTCAGACATTCAGCTTCTTCGCCGCTGTCTATGCCCGAGTAGTTTGGAGTCCCGTACACATAGCTACTTCCCACCGATTCAGAGCCCCCCGTAGGGTGTCCCTGTACCTCTTCTTGTCCTGATTTCCGATTGTTTTGTCCCAAATTGTCACCAGAGTGTCTCAATTTCACACTGTCCTGTCCTGGATTCTTGCCCTCTTGCCCAGATACAACCCTCTCTTGTCCCAATTTCAGAGCCTGTTGCCCCGAATTCTCACCCCCAGTGAGTACAGCAGGTATGTTGGTCCTGATTACCGTACTGTGATGGTTGATATCGGCTGGTGTACTTGAGCAGGGAGCGTTGCAGTGGAGAGGGGGAGGAGGGAGGGTGTGAGGAGGGAGGGGAGGGAGGAGAACAATTGAAGAGACATCTGCAATGGCAGTGGGTTGTCTGCTAGGAGATGGAGGAGTTAGAGAGAAACTAGACTTCTCTGTGTCGAGATGAGGCTGTGAAGACACAAGGAAACAAAGATACAGTCTTACACATACGTATGTACATGGGTATACAACAACTAACGTACAATCTACATTTGATAGCAAATATTCTGTTGCTCATGCCCAGGGCCGCTCGCCAACCAGTCAAGAGGCAATGGCAACAGGCGCAACAGCATGCCAGCAAACAAAGTCCATATACACTATCAGAAGCTCGAATAATACAAAACACTGGAGCAGGTAGCCAACAAGGGGAAAACAACCTCACCTGACAGCAATTAGCAGTGTTAATAAGGGGGGTAGTAGAGAAGAGAGCAGGGTCCTCGCTGTCAAACTCTCTCTGAAGGTCGGCCACCTGTTGGGCAAGTCGGCCGCACTCCGTGTCACTCTCCCTCAGAGCCTGTCGCAGTCTCTCTATCTCCCTCTCCTCCTGACCAACCCCCTCCTTCTTCTGCTCCAGACCTTTGCAGCTTCGTTCCAGGACATTATGACTTTTACTCTCGCTGAGTTCCAGACCACTGATGTTCAATTCCGTACCATTAAGGTTCGGTTCTAGACCAATGTCAAGACCACTGTGGTTAAGTTCCTGACCATTGTGGTGCTGTGGCTCGAGACAATTGTGCTTCTGTTGGAGTTCAATTTCATTGCAGTTCTGTTCCAGACCACTATGGTCTTGCTTCGTGCTACACTGTCCCGATCTCACAGAGTCAGATTCAGATATGGAGCCTGGACTGGCCACCTTATTGGGGGCGACCCCTTCATTCCCCAGTGCTAAATGAGGGCCAGCAGCATGTGTCTCCACGGCAGAGTGGGCGTGTCTCCTGGCAGTCTCTAGCTCTGACTCCAGTCTCTGTATCTCCTCATTGGCATGGCACAGTGCCTGCAACAGGAGAAAGTGGCAAGGTTTCCTACACAACTCCCGAGGATTGATTTTCATGCAATAACTGTTCTTTGGGAGAGAAAGTGGTGTGACCTCAATGTACGTATCAGAGAGTCGGTAGACACGGGTGAAATCTCACGTGATCCGCGTACAAAACGACTAAAAACTCGCTGAGAATCACTCCCTAGGCCTTCAAAACATACTAGCAATAGTCTACGGGCACATATCTACCTATACATGTCCCCCAAGACCTCATACCCACCTTCAGTCGTCCACGCGAGAATTCGCTCTTACGCGATTTCACGATTTTGGTGTCATCATATTCTTCTTCTTCTTCTTCTTTAGACCCGCTTTCTCCTTACTGGAACAAGTTGAAGCGCTAATTTTTTCACTGAACGTCTCCAATTTCGCCCGAGGTGTGCACGGACATCAAGCGATCGGTTCTTTCTCGCCGCTAGTCACTACGGTAGATCATGGAGCTCTTCCAAGGTCGACACTGAACAACGCCATTTGCTGCTAACTCAGCATCAGTGAGCCGCGCGCATGCGCCAGGCAGGGGCGTTGTCCACCACATGCGCTTGCGAGCGTATACCAGGCGAGTTGGCAGACCTGCAGAGGAACTGTCAGCCTCCAGTATATACCTTCTGTAAGTAAGTGTGCACATTTGCAACTGCTAGCTGCTGTTGATTGCAGAAGAGCAATTGCCAGAGTTTGCGCGGTGTTACGCGAGCCTTGTCAAGTCATCGGCCCCAAGGTTTGTAGCCTGATTACCAAAGCTTGCCCATGAAACCACACCTGTGGCAATATCATTAATTACATCCGTGTTGAGACGCGGCCCCCCTCACATTCATATCCCCCGCTTCTTTATTCC